GCCCGCCCCGGGCGGGGGGGGCGGGCTGCCAGCTGCGAGCGCGCCGAGGGAGGGCTGGGGGGTGGTGGTGACAGCGGGTGCATGCTATAAATAATAACGGGCGACTCCATTCTAGTGCTAGGCTAGTTTTTACACTGTACTTTAATACGAAGCTTCCAAAACTCCCCCTTTTTTTATAAACGACGACGACGACGACGACAAAAAAAAAAAAAAAACATAAAAAAAAATATATCGAAAGTAGGAGATGCTTATGATGATGACAATGGTGTGTGGACTGTTAGTAAAACGTGCTGGTAGTTCCTAGGATGCTTATTACGAAACAATTAAATCTATGGGTGGATACTTTTCTGAATGTTCTTGAAAGGGCAAGAAGTTCCTGTGAAAAAAAAACAAAACCATGATACTGCAGCTTTATCGAAGTTTAAAAGAGAAAAAAAGAAAAAAAAACCCACAAAACTGTAACATATCTCTTATATATATTAAAAACGTTTAAAGGTTTTAAAGATAAATTGCATTAATACAGATTGAAGTATTTTATTCTTTTTTGACTTGAAAAATTATATTTCATATTGCAAAGATGTTTACAAGTATTTTAATTTAAGTTCAGTGAACTTTTTGTAGCTGGGTTAAATCTTTTTTATTTTAGTATGGCCTTATGGCAAAGAACACTGTATTATTTTAATATCACACAATTGTGAACGGAATTACAAACCATAAAATGTGTAATGCTTTGAACAGTATTCTGTTGGGATGGAGATTTTATAGGTTCAGAAAAAAATCTTTTAAATCTGCTTCACCCAGCATATTTTCTATTCAGTGATATAAAGCATATTTTATTCTATATTATTACAAAAATGGAAATGTATAAACATATGTCAAAAGGAACTGTTGAAGCTTTCTAACATTTGTATAAATAGAATTCAGTGGAAATTACAAAAATTCTGTTGCACCACTATAGTTTTAGTATTTCTATTTTAATACATTTGTTTACCACTTGTTTATGTATATGTAGGTGACGTTACTTGAGCTTAAATGTACTTTACTGAGCAAAGTTTAAAAACAAAGTATATTTTATTTTATGATAAAGGGCCTTTAACCTCATGGTCAAATACTAATATTATATTTGCTGAGACAAAATTTGAAATTGTATCAAGAGTTTTATTTTTCTGACATTTAAAGTTCTACATAATAAAAGTAAAACTTAAGTAATGGTGCTACTTCATGTTTTTTTAAGTATTTCTATATAAATAAAATAAAATATTACAGAAAAAAAAAGGTACTCTGCGTGGTGATTTGATTTGACGTGCTGAGAGTGTCTTTTGCATTTTTTTTGTTACCCGCTTGTAGCGCTGACACGTGTTGGGAGTTTAAACTGTGTCATGTCAATGTTGCCGGAACTCTTTAGCTTGTGAAGGCTTCCAGAATAATCGTGCCAGCCATCGTACCTTATGACACGTTTTTAAGAAGAAAAAAAAAAAAAGTTTGGGTTTTTTTTTATTATGTGGCATATTGCTGGCCTTATTCCACATCTAAAAATACTATTTTTTCAGAATTTTTAGGCCTGAAAAATACTTGGTTTCGTGTGACTTGTTACTTCTAGCAAAGAAAGCATATGTAAGAAACGGAGCTGACAGCTTTCTTAGCTTGGTGATCTAAGAGCGGGGAGCAGGGGCGGCTCCTTTGTCGTAACGCGCCGATGGAGGCGCGAAGCCTGCGGGTGCTGGCTCTGCCATGCCCAGGGACCTCAGAACCGCGTCCCAGACGCGGTGTTTTCTGGAGTGGAACGAGGGCTTTGCTATCCTTCCTCAGTTCTTGAAAGTGCTTCTTGGTGTTTGGCAGTTGTGGTTCGGGTAATTGGTGTTGACAAGCTTATTTGAATGAAAAATTTATTGCCGTGTAAAATTTGTTTGCTTTTGATCATGCCCACAGTGGTATTGGGGCTTTCTGACTAATGAGGCTACGAACCCATCAGGCAAACCCCGCGATATTTTTGTTGCTGATTGTAGTCAACGTGTTTGAGTGAACTTGCTGGATAAAGCGTGTTAGAGCAGATTTCAGAAGGTGGCTGCAGACCATTTTAAATGTTTGCTTCTGAGGGTGCCGGTGCACTTTTCAGCGGGCGAGCGAAAACAGCAAAACAAACCCAAACTGTGTAGCGTATTTCATATGTTTTACTTTGTGCTCAGCAGTGTATGCCAGAGCTGCTCTGCTCTGCTCTCCTTCATGGACTCCAGAGCTGCTGGTTGGGTGGGAAGGGGGAGGAGGGAGGATGCGGCAGGGGATGATGGGATCTCTTTGTTTGATTTGATTTGATTTTTGCTTCTTTCATTGAACTGTGATTGTGCTATCATCTGATTTATAGAGTTAAAATCCCTCACGGAGTGTTGCATTTGTCTCGGGAAGCTTGTCGTTTTGAAGGGTGGAAAAAAAATCCCCAATGCTGTGGAAAAGAATCCAGAGAGTGGCAGAGAAGATGTGCTTAAATACAGAAGTGGTACGGACATTGAAAAAAACCTTGGCAAAATTGGTTACTTTAAAGGGATCAGGAAGTTTAAGTCCACGTGTATATTTTCTTAATGATGGCTGTTTAGGAAATGAACTCAAAATGCGTCAATCAATTTCTCGTTTCAGTGTAAACATCCTGTACTGGTGTCTGGGAAAAGTTGTGAAAATGACTATAAATAAAAAAGTGAATTTGATCACTTTGCTTAATTTTCCAAGCTTGGTGAAACTGAGGGGTAAATAGGGTGAACAAAAAGTGAAAACTGAATTCGCCTCCTTTCCCCCCCTCCCCTTAACGTACAATGCTGTGTGTCTCCATGGTGTTAATGGCGGTGGTATGGAAGACTGTGAGCAGCCGACGTCCCTCTGGAGAACTGCACTCGTGCAGCAGCTCGACAGCCACCCCGACCCGGGCAGGGTGGCAGGGCATTGCCCAGCTCGGCCGCCGAGTCCCTCGTTAAGTGTAACCGGCCTCATCGTCCGTGTTCGTCTTGCGGGACTTGACTTTACTCTTTTCTTTACCAAACTGTAGCTGAAGCAAAGGCAATCTCCCCCTTCGACTGTGGCTCTGGCTGCCTTTTCAGCCTCTGTATGCTGTTTCAACCCCTGCGCACGCTCCACGTGCGTGTCATTTCTGGCCGGGAAGATGGGCCGTAGTGCCTTAAAAACTGATCGCATTCGTTCCTCTTTGGCAATTACTTCGCCCGCAGAGGGACCGGTCTGGATTACTCTTGCTTTGGCGTCCTGGATGCAGCGAGTGCCTTTTGCCCCGTCTTCCGAAGAGTGCGGGGTCAGCAGCACCCACCTGAGGCACCTCCGCTGCCCGGTCCCGCCGGCGCGTTCCCCGCTGTCGGAGGGCGTTTCGGAGGTGTACGGGCACACGCGGTGCCCGTCGCGTTACGGCTCGGCGCGTTCTGGTTGCAGTGCTGTGCCCCGAACCCAAATTTGCTCCCGGTGGCAGGGTGTCAAATCCCTTGTCTTTGGCTGGTGGGGAGGAGCGCGTGTGAGCAGGGACGGCGTGGGGAGGAATGTGCGGGCTACACGTGTGCGCTGCCCCCCCAGATTTATGCCGTAGGTCAGTCCCCTGGACCGCAGAGGCCATAAATCAGCGCAGAATTTGTCCCGGGGTCTGGGGCCATATGGTGTGCGGGAGCGGGAGAAGGAGAGGGACGCCCGCGCGGAAGGAGAATAAAGGCCTGTGTTTGGTGCGGGAATATTTCAAAGCCTGAGAAAGGGGCAAAGTTCAGTTTCTAATGGAGTGCTTTGAAATATAGAGATGTATATGGTCAATGTTTGTCTTCCAGAACAAAGATCGCTTTGTTTTTCAAACGTTTGCGTGTTGGTGCTGAAAACTGTACGGGGCTGGGGGGGGCTGGGTCTCCACCGCGAGAGGCTGCCCTGCAATCTCGGCAAGTGCTCGGGGGGTGGAAGCCCCCGGCGCGGGTGAGCAGCCTGGCCCTGCTGTCCCAGCCGGCTTGGGGGGGCATCGGCGAGGACCGCAGGTTCCGGGTGCTTCCCTGTCTTTGCTAACGCACCTGTATGGTTCCCAGTGCGTATACGCATAATTATCTCAAAAAGGGGTACATTTGAACTTGTAAGAATTATTATATACAAAGTCCTGAGCTTAATTATTCCTCTGTCCGTATCTTGTCCTCCATGGAATTTGCATAACAATCAGACATCAAAGCCAGAGCCCTTTACCAGAAGAAAGGTCTTTCCACTATATTATTTTAATAAAATAAATTATAATGATCAATTTAATCTAAATTTACCCTGTAGATTTTTTTCTGCAAATCGATTGAAATGAGACTTAAAAGCAAACTTTAAATTTAGTAGTAAGAATCTCGTACAGTAAGGTATTTAAATTAAATTGCTTTTTGTTTGATGTTTCTCACTCCTCTCTGCCAACCCCCTCACCTGTCTTTTTTTCTCCATTCTCCTTGTCTTGCCATTTCGGAAATTGAAATGATGCTTTGCTGTCGCTGAAGTGAATGGGAATTCTGCCGCTGGAAGAGCATGCTGGTGAGTATTGTGTTTAATTGATCTAGAAATAGCAAAAAGTAATTATTCACCCTGCCTCTGCTTATTTGTGTTTCCTGTACCTGTTGTCTCTCTAGTAGAGATGATTTAATTAGAGAACAAAGACTATTTTAAATCTAAGGTAGTTAAAAGGGATGCTTCAGTCTGTATAATCATTTGAATTTCTGATTTACCTTTACATGATAGTCTACCTGGTAAATGCCAAAGGGCCCAAGTTTGCAGGTGAGTAAGTGCTCTATCCAATGGTGAGTGATGTGGGAAGACACTCATAACTACTGCGTTCTTTTGTCTTCTTCTCAGAAAATATATATATAAATACGTATGTGTGACCATATATTCAATATATACTTGTGTACACAGGTGACTGCTTAAAATCCTCCAGAAAATCACAGCTTAGAAAGTCTTTCCTTTTTCAGTACATTAATGTTAACAGAAACTCGCTGTAATACTAGAAAAAGTTTTATTGTAGTTTTATTCCTTAATATTAAGGATTTTAATGAAGCTTTCACAGTTGGATATGTAAAATAATTACATTTCATCTAATTTCTAACTTTGATTAAAAAGTAAAAAGCTTATTCTGCCTTAGTTCTAGTGAATTAGGTTGTATCATGATGTGCTTATATAGTGAGGAAGCTGTATCAAAAACATTTAAGCATTTGGTATATGGGTTATTCTTTAATGTTATCTGTATATGTAGAGCGTGTGCAACTCTCTGCCCTAGATATATACATGCATATATGTACAATATCGTGAGTACCATATAGCCCCAATCTTTTAAAATTCATGCGGTCTTGGTAAAGTGACATTGAATTTGCAGCCTTAAGGAATATCGGGTGTGGCTGTGGCTGCAGAAACCACCTGTAACCATCGTAGGCTGCATTTTTCTGAGTTTTGGGCTCCAGTGAAACCAGTAGCAGAAGCCTGCCTTGATCAGGATTTAATTCTCCCCATAAATTAAACTCTGGCAAATAAGGTTTGTTTGCATATAAAATCTTATCCAAGGCACACAGGTAATATTTTTCCCTAATGCGGGTTTGTTGGGGTTTTTTGGTAGGGAAGTTTTTGCCATATCTTCTGTAACAACTTACAGCTCTCCACTGGTAAGAACTGGTTAAGAAAATCAGTCAGTTAAATGCCTTCATACTAAATGCATCTTATACCTTTACCACTACAAATGTGATTGATTAGCTGTCTCGAGAAATTTATAGCCTTTGATAAGATTGCACCAAGAGAAGTGCCTTGTTAGCTTTAAATGGAGAACAAAAAGAGATTTTTGATGTTCCTCATTATTGGTTTTTCACTAGTGATGGAGATAAAATACAGTAAAGTGCTTTTTCCTCTTATGTATAAGGGCTCTTCTGCCTTTCATACCTGGTAGAATTGTGTGGCCCACTTTACATTAGTATGAATGGCAAATGCCTTGTAAATGTGACTGTCATGAATGGGTGAATAGGCCGTCGTCTCCTATTTTGTCCTTTGTCTTTACGTTTTATTCACTTTTACCTTCTACAAAAGAGCCTCAATTTAGGCCTGAGAAAACAGTAGCATGCTCCAGTTCATTATAGATCTAGTGGCAGGTTTTTTTTGATTTTGATGTTCTTTATATTTTGATGGCTGCACTAAACAGCAGAAGCTATTTTAATCAAAAGAAAATTTCAATGAGAGCATGACCTATAAATAGTGGTTTTGAAAGAGTCACAAAAGTTTCTGTTACACATTTGGAAATTATTTCCACGATTTAACTGCAAAAGGCAAGTAAATCACGCCCCTTTAAGAGTTAGGAGAAAAGGAGTGTTTTTTTCAGGATCTTTAGTTCTGCTACTGAGTCATTGTATCATCTCAGCTAATTAATTTCACCTTTTATATGCTTCAGGATTTCCGTACGTGAATGAACTAATGACACCTACTTACAGGCAGTATTGTGAAGATTAATTAATTGACATTATTGAAGTATCCTGAGGTGGAATTCCTGATGTAAGTACAAAATATTATTGCCGATACTTCCTAATTAATCAGTTTGCAGTAGCCAGCATGTGGGAATCATGTTGGTCTAGAGCAAACTATCACAGAACTGGATTATATTTGAAATCTGTGGGTTTGGGTTGTTGTGGGTTTTTTTTCAGATTTCTGGTTTTACATGTTATTTGAACAATCTTATACAGTGAGTGTAAGCATCTCCCTTCCTCATGTAGCACTTACAGGTGTGGTGGGCTTGACTTAGGAGAAATACGTGATCCCAGTGTTATACATATAGCCCTGGTAGGCTTTGTTGAGGATACAGAAAGGCAACTTCGGCTAGCAATTTTCTTGCCTCCTCTGTGTAACATTGCTAACC